AAGCCAAACTTTAATTTGATGGTAACTCTGGCCTTTTTAACAAACCTGTTTTAACTGTTATTCAGTTCATCACAGGAAAAGTCTTGGAAGATGGTGTCAGCACAACTCCAACTCGATATTTGAAGTTTTGTTTGTAAATAGTGTTTTTTTTGAATGGAGTTCTTGTATCTAGTTTTCTCACTCGTGTTAATTGTAAATTAGAATTGTAAATAGAGTTTCATTTCTCAGAAATTGTTTTCCGTAAATGAATTATACATTAAGGATAAAAATAGATTTAAATAAACAAAGTTAGCAGAATTTTAATCATGGGCTTCATTTTCTGTCCAGCAAAGCGCACCCCACCTTTCAAGCGTGACCTCCACGCGTGAGTATCACACGTGTTCACACGCACATTCCCGGGAAAAAGCACAAGCGCGTGATTTGGTGCCCCTAGGTGCCCTTAGTACCCTTTCTGCCCCGATAAATGTAGTGGTTTGCAAACAGCTCTGGTTCAACTCTCCTCGATGATGGCAGTCAAGTAACCCCATTTGGCAAAACAAATGTTTCCTGGTCAAACTAAATACATGCAAGAATCATTTGTTTTAGCCAAAATGGGTTACTTGACTGCCATCTCGAGGAGATGTTGAACAGAGCTGTTTTGCAAAACACTGACATTTATCGGGCAGAAAAGGGGTACTAAGGGCACCTAGGGGCACCAAATCACGCTTGTGCTTTTCCCCGCGGAATGTGCGTGTGAAAAACACGTGTGGAATCACGCGTGGAGGTTCACGCGCGTAGAAAGGTGGGTGCCGCTTTGCTTGACAGAAAATGAAGCCATGATTAAAATTCAGCTAAAACTTTGTTTATTGTAAAACATCTATTTTTTTTACCTATGTAGCTAATCTTTCCTGTGTGAAAACAATTTCCTGAGAAAATGAAAACTCTATTTACAATTCTATTTACAATTAACACGAGGTATGAGAAAAACTATATACAAGAACTCCAACAAAAAAACACACTATTTACAAAACAAACAAACTTAAATATCGAGTGGAGTTGTGCTGTACACCATCTTCCAAGAACTTTTCCTGTGATGAAACTGAACTAAACATAGTTAAAAAGGTTTGTTAAAAAAGGCCAGAGTTCACCATCAAATTAAAGTTTGCGCTTTCAATGCGAATACAAAGCTTTATTTTGAATTCATATAATTACAAAATCAAAGTTCCATTTGTTATTCTGCCTTATTTTTCTTATCCAGCTATAACACCCACGCTTTGATGGTCTAGTGGTTAGGACACTGCGTTGTGGCCGACAGTAACCCAGGTTCGAATTCCTAGCGTTCAAAGCATATGCTTTTGATACCTCAGTAACATGTTGTTTGTTAAACATTAATATCTGGAGTGTTGTGGTTTCGTTTTGAAGACGAAGCGAAACAAGTCCGTGTAGCTAATTAAAATGCACCAATTTCCCTCGGAGATTCAATGAAGAAGAAAACCGTTTATTTTCCTTTTGTATGAGAACAAGGCCGTTCCGTTTTAAAGAATGGCGCACGTGATTCTTCATGTTAAAGTAGGCTGGGAAACTCAAAAAAATATATCACAGAGTTTTAAATAAGTTTACGCATTAACGGTTTATTAAGTACCCCAAAAATACACAATCACTCAATATTCGCTCAAAACTACGGAAAGTACAATAATTCGAATACAATCTTATCTGATTGTATTAAATTAAAACACACGAGCGTGTTCACTTTCCCAAAGCTTGAATCGTTATGTAGCTGCCACATTGCGCTCGCGTTTGTTGACACATCTTGCTGAGTTCTCTAGAGGTCGCGACGTTGCTTTAATGTTCAGAGTCTATCTCCCACTTTGGCACTATCTATTCTGCCCCAAATTGTCTTTGCAGTTGATGTACTTTGTAAACATACGATGCGTGTTCCACCCTGTCTTTGCAATTTAGGTCTCTGTAAGCGTTGAAGCATGTCACCTGTAGTGAGACTTTTTCTTCAGGGCAATACGTTGGAAGATTGTGCTTTGGAAAAAAACCTAACATCAACGGGTAGTTCATCGTCCCATCGGAAGAAATCTGCACATTTCTTTTCTTCTGCATGTAAAAATAGGGCCGGAAAGGATTGCTTTTGCGGATCTTGAGACTTTCAATATTGTCGCGACATCCATGTGTATGCAGTAGAGGTAATTGTCCCTCCTTTTTTTTTCCTTTCCGGCTCTATTCGTGTACTTTGTATGTCAGTGTCATCACACGGTCGCGAAAAGACAACTGTTGATATCCGTGAATGCCTATCTTCTCGCGCAGAAAAAGGGGCATAGCTTCCAGTCCACAACATCGAATGAGTAAGGTATACCTGAGGCGGCGGTTAATTCCACTTTCCAAGGTCTTTGAGGCAGAGTCCACACTTTGAGTAACTCATCTTGGAAGTTAAGTGCGTCAATTAAAAAATAAGTTTAGCTCAAGTTCAAGCGCAATCTTGAGAAGAGTGCGTCTCAATCAGTGGATGTTATCAGAGCGGGCAAGTCCAGGGCAGGTCTATTGTGAGCTACCCTGTCCTATTGTCGTTAAGAGGGATCTGCTTGTAACCCGTGAAAGCGTGTTTGACGGTATTAAAAGCGTCCTATATAGCAATATGTAGTAATGCTACTGTAGGGATACCCCACATCCCCCCGACTTCTCATTGGTCTCATAACCACGTGGACTCCCAAAGGTATATAACCAATGAACGCCATTGTCAAGCCCTATCACATTGTGCCGCGATGCCAAAACAGGTATGCCATTCCATACCGTGTCTCAGACAAGAAATACCAATTGGTCTACAACAAACGTGTCATTCCCCGTGTGTATCCCGTGACATTTCAAACTTACCCGTAATGCGCTTACCTTCGCTTTACCGCTGAAGACGAACAAGCCCTCACAAACATTCTCCTCATATACAGTAGCCAATCTACTACAACCGGTAGAGTCGTCAAGGTCAACTTTTTTGATGTTTGTGAAAGTCGTGGGCGCGGTGCGTCACCAGGACCCCCCGGGCAAACGTCCGCAATGTAACTTAGTGCTATTAAAATCGCTTTGTATTACAATCACCGTTGTTGTCGTCGGTTTGTCCGATCCCTTTCCGATGTATTATGTCAACATCTCCAATATACAAAAAGGGGCGGAGACGTATGACCTCATTTGCATAACATGTTCAATTCGCAATCAAATCCATTGAAATGCACGTTGCCAAGGATACGTCAATCCATCAAACCCATTTGTTCTTATGCCCTAATTGAGTTTGATGCGGTACCTGTCAAAAATGAATACCTTAATCTAGCCGATACCACTACTCTCACTTCATTTGACCTCCTATTGTTACTGCGCCTACGTTTCTGCGGCATCAATTTCCCTCGCGTCATTTAGCGCGCGCTCGAGCGCGCGCGACAATACAGAACATTTGCAAAATCTCTTTAAGGCTAAGCTCGGTCGGTCTTTGACGAGTCGTTTCTTCATATAACTTACAAAAACGCGTGGTTGACCCTACTTTTTATGTTATAAAATGGAAAAGCGGGTGGGATGGTTAAGCCTATTAAACATATGATTAATTTTTTGTTGTGTAGCCAAAAGTTATTGAGGACTGTATTTTTGGTATACCAGAGGAGAGCTGTCAGGGGTTGATAATGCGCTACGTTGCGATGATTTTTAATTAAAAAAGAACACATAAACAGTAGTTGTTATATTACCATTTGTTAAAGTATTTTAAAGTTTGTTTATATGTAATTGTTGCTTTTCGTGTATGTCAAGGCAAATTCAAAGGGGAATCTCGCGAAAAAAATATTTTTTGTCTTTTTTTCCCGAGAAAATGCTATTTCAGCATTTTTTCCAGATTGAAGCTTGATTATCTCTGCAAAAAATTGGAGTGGTTACCCCCAATTTTCTTTTTGGAATCCAATAGCTCCTTGCTAAGATCTGCCCTTTTCTCGCATAGTCATAAACCGCCGGCAAACAAATTTACTTTGGTATTCAGGAGGCCACAGTCCTTGAAAAAAAAACATGGCCTCCAGGGTTTTTATCATTTGAATCTCTCGGGAATGGTTGCAAAATCAGCACTAATACCGTGAAATTGGTCATTTGTGCAAGAGGACGGCACAAAGAAATGTACCAAACTGCCAAAACGTACTTGCAGAGCAATAGGCCATTTTCCGAGTTGACTTTTTACCTCTGTTTTCATAAACTGAGGTCCAAGTGCCGCAAACCTTTCATATAGAAAATGAGTTCGATTTGCATTTGAATGAGTTTGAGAAAAAACTCCAACAATTTAACCTATGTTTGTTTTGGGACGTTCTTCGTTGGCCGTCGCGGTCGTAGGTCTCCTACGACCAGCCGTTATTTGTGTCGTTCACGCAACGCTTCTCCCCACTTAAACTGCGTAGCAAGACTATCGCCGGTCCGCGGTCGCCCCCCCCCCCCCCCGCCCCCCCCCTCCCGTGGGTTGCTTTAAGGTCCACTATCCCTAACTAAACTAATTGAGAGGGGGTGAAATAGGTTTGCGGATTGAGCTGGGATTTTGATTTTTTTTTTGGCCCCAAAACCACCCAAAAAAAAAAAAAAAAAAAACAAAAAATTCGTTCGGATTACGGATTCACAAATAAGGGGGGGGGGGAATTTTTTAAATTTCCACGGATTTGCGGATCCTGCAGATGCAGTCGGGATTACGGGATTGTTGCGATTTTTAGGGAACGGATTTTGGATTTTGCTTATTATATTGTTCGGATCGTCGGATTTCAATCCTTCCTTATCAGTCCGGCTTCTCCGTAGCAAATACCATAAAAGCTCTATTTAGCCCCCCCCCCCCTCTCTATTAAGCCCCCCTTATCTAATAAAGCCCCCCCCTTGAGGAAGTCAGATTTGTAAATAAGCCCCCCCCCCCCCTCTCTATTAAGCCCCCCCCCCTCAGCTTCCGTCAGGCTGATGTAAATGACTTTTCAGCAATTTATGATTTGAAATAAGCCCCCCCCCCCTACCCTCTCTATTAAGCCCCCCCTCATCTAATAAGCCCCCCCTTCTTGAGGCCTGAAATTAAATAAGCCCTTAATAGAGCTTTTTTTACGGTATGACTTTCTTACAGAAAGGGACGTAACATTTGGAGTAATAAAAAAATATGATAAGAGTGACTTGACTCTGAAAGATGACTTCCGCTCAGGTTGTCGAGAACGTCAGGTTCACAAACAACAGTCATTTTCAGGGCTACACTCAGCTTTCAGACGATCATTCTATAGAACAGAACTACTGATACTCCTGGGTTCCAACCATTTACTATCAACAATAAATCGCAAGTCATGTTTTGCCTTATGGAGAAAAAAATTCAGTCCATTTGTACTAAACATAAAAATTTAACTCTAATATTATTTCAAGAATACTAGTCGCAAATTTGTATCTATGATAATGATGCGACATTCTTAAAGAAATCAGACATAGAGTGAGGCGCTCAAGGCAGGGGGGATATTCGCTTCAAGGTAGGGATTTTGGTCAGCGTTGATCCAACGTGTCTAAGTAAACTCTCCAGGGATGCCTCACCACCTCCCACCCCAAGGAGCGCGGCCGAGCAAAAAAGAGATGCAATTTCTGACTAAAAATAGCATCTAATAAGTTCGTGATGAGAACATCAAATATAATACCTTTCAAAACAAATATAGAATTTCTAAATAACAAAAATCTACCTCGATTATTGCCAAACTTTTGGCATAATCTGGTTCTGCTTTTAATTTTTTATAGTTAGCGCAAAATACTTGTGACCGAAACGCATAGCAACTAAAAAACTTCAATAGGTACTCAAGTTTCTGGAAAGCGAATTTCCGAGGGCTTAGATTTTAAATTTTCCCAGTAGAGCAATGCACCGCGAACCTCCCTAGAAACTCCCGCCTTGCGTGGGTTGCTGCTCGCGCAACTTTTTCAGCATGTCATTTTTCATCGTCGTTTGTTAACATCATACACAGCGTTTGAGCGTGAAGGTTTCGCGGATTCGGATTATAGCAAAAATATTTCCACGGATGCGACCGATTTGGCCAAAAAATGTATAGACGGATTAGCAGATTCCGCCATACCCCTATTCAACCCCCCTTCCTAATTGTTTTAATTATACAAATCGTGCCTTTCAGACATTTACCATAACTCGACCCATCATGCCAAACAACATTATTACCTTGTTCGGTCGATTCATCTCGGTTCTTGAGAGTTCACACTGAGTCTGCAGTTGTGCGCTTGTTTTCCACGGGCAAGCAGGAAGGTGCGAGTACCAAAAACTGAAATAGTAAAGTAAAACAAGATTATAATCTATACGAAGTAAATAAATCTACAACT